GTCAACTGAAATAGCTATGGATTGGATATTAAATCTACTTCTGGACAAAGTATGGAAAGACGTACGTCCACTAAAACGTTGGATAAAAGCCAACTCCAAAGATTGGATAATAAATGTCGCAAAAAGGAGACGTGCTGAGGGTTTGCCTTGTGAGATAAAAAAAGAATAGACCAGCAAAATTGCCAAAACCAGTTAATTGTTCAGAGTGCTTTTACAAATGTGCCAGTTATTTCAGCGAAGATTACAGACAAAAACAATGTCGTGATTATTGAAAGTTAAAATATATAGACTAGAAAAATTTTCTTACTGCACGTATTAAAACGAAGTCACCAACGAGAGTCGTTGCAGTTCGTTGAAGTTTATAAAAACCACGTGCATTTTTCAAAAAGTGCCACTTTTATTTGAATAATCAAGACATACAGGTATTTGAGAAATTTTTTTGTAAGACACTTTGTATATCAGCGTCGTTAATACAAGATGTTGTAAGAAAAACTGATATTTGAGGCTGTTTGCAGATACGGATAAAAGAGGCAAGCATACACCGCCAAACAAAACAAGCAGTGAAACCGGTAAAATCGTGAAGGCTCACATTGAGTTTTTTCCAACCAAGGGCCCACATTATATTCGCCAAAGTTCAAAGCGTAGATATTTGGACAAAAATATAAGTATAAGAAAAATGTACCAACTTTATACAAATGACTGTGAGCAGAAGAAACTGGAAGGTGTTAGCGAAATTACATGTCGAAAAATATTTTCCAACAACTATAATTTAAGTATTTTTGTTCCTAAAAAAGATCAATGTTTAGTTTGTAGTAAATATGATAGGGCTAATTTAACTGACAAATCGGATTTAGAAGACAGTTACACAGAACATCAGAAAAGAAAAGAGGTATGTAATCTTGAAAAACAAAATGATAAGAAAATATCTAATGAATAACGGGATTTTGTTTCAATTCCTTTCGATCTGCAGGCAGTACTACAGATTCCAAGTGGATTGACTGGACAAATACATTATTCTCGAAAATTATGCGTCTAAAATTTGTGTGTATATGAAGCTCCATTACCAAATGCAGCTTACTGTTTTGCCTGGTCAGAAATTCACGGTAGACGAGGAAGTTCTGAAATAGAAAGAAATATACTCCACTACTTATTAAAATGTGTTCCAGAATATGTAAGTGAAATAAGTTTATTTTCTGATTACCTGCTGAGGACAGAATCGTAATCAGCATATTGCAGCCTTACTATTATCGGCTGTTCAAAACATGGATCATTTAAATATTATTGAACAAAAATTTTTAGAGTCTGGACATTCCTATATGTAAGTTGACTCTTTGCATAGTAATACCGAAACCGCTAAAAACACAGATCTATTTATGAGATGCCAGATTACTTGCCTGTTTTTCAAAATACAAGAGAAACTAAAAATATCAAGGTTGATGATAAAAAAGTATGTATAGAACAATACAAATGTGAAGAATTTAAATCCTATCTACGACTTTTATGATTTAAAAAATTTGTCACACACTTTAATTAAAAACCGGACAAAAGCCAAACGGCGAAAAAATAAGAGAAAAGATAAAAAGAATGAGATTCGTGAAAGGACAGACAAACAGAATCTATTTTAATTATGACATGTTAACAAGTTTTAATTATTTCCTTACTGATACTGCAAAGCAGTCAACAAGAAAAAAGCACGCCAAGTTATCAACTAAGACAAGCAATCTTGAAGAACTTAAGCGACTTTATGATGCATATTTAGCAATTAGCATAGAAAAAAAAAGATTTGGTACAGTTATGTGAAAAGAGAGTGATAACGGAGGAATATCACGGGTGGTATCGTAATTTGAAAATGGGAAATGATGTAACAGACATCTCGCCAGAGCCTGCTTTCAGTGACGAATCGGACGAAGAAGCCTTATAATAATATTATTGGTATTATTATAATATATAATACTGCTATGATTATATTCGAAATACATTTCTTTTTTCTATAAAACTGCCTATCATTCATATAAATAATAACTATAACTACAAACAGCTGTTAATAAAATTTTCAGGGAAAACCAGTTAAATGTCATAAATATCGGCTAATACCTTAAAAAATTGCTATTATCTAGTAAAAGCCTCATATCTCTATCACAAAACTGGAAAATATTATACTTGGCTTATTATATTTATGTTATTTGAAGAGAAATTGATTTATTTACATTTACAGGTAAAACCAGGTAAGTGACAGCATTTCTAAGTTAAATTTAGGATTAGTCATATAGGTGTCTTAACTTTTTCAAACTAATAATAGAATATCATTACAGATATATGCATCTTTCACTAGAATACCTAATATCACAAACAAGCTGACTGCTTAATTCACAATAAAAAACTAAACTTAAAAAATGTTTTTTCTCGAATTCAGTATTTTGACATTTACCTGGTTTTCACAGTATACTGACGATATGTTCTTTTTTCTTTCCAGGGAATTTTGCAAGTACATAATCCCCCTCCATATAATTTACATTATCAGTATTTTCCTTATCACTGTAATCACCTGTTTCAAAAGATATATTATCAAGACTGCTACCAGATTCAACCCATGATTCATTATCATCACTTGATATGCTTCTTTCCTTTTGTTACTAACTTTATTTTTTTCTTCACTTTCAGTTTCTGTTTTTAACAAAGTTTTTTTTTCTCTTTTCTTTTGTCTCTCTTCTGCTCTTTTCTGTTCTTCTTCAAGAAGCTTGATATTCTTTATTTCATGTTAAGTTTGCCATTCTTTTGAACTAGCCACAGAAGAAACTTTTTCCACTCTTCTTTTATTTACTGAGGATACTCTGGGTTCATGCCAAAACAGTAGTTTAAATGGAGAGTGTATATTTCATTTGATGTAGAAGGTGTAGGTAATTCTTCAATTGCTGGAGACAGAACTTGTGATTGTGTTGATGAAGAAGCACAAGTGTCTTGAATAATAGCAAAATTATTATATTGAAGATTTTTTTCTAGTGGGACTAGTGTGACCTTCCACAACATCCGAAATGTTTCTCTCTGTTTCAGCCTCAGATTGATTTAATAACTACATATTTCATACTGTTCTTCTGTTGACTCAATAGTACTTCCTCAATAGCTTTCTCCATAGCTTCTTCTTTATATTGGAACATTTGTCCTTTTATAGGAGGCATATTTTTAACTGAAAATTTAAATTTTTGTTTTAGTAGTTGACATCCAAAGTGTTTCAATAGTTGACATAGTGTCAACTACTAGATAGAGTAGATACATTTATGTGATATTTAAAATTTAAGTATACACATTATATACAATGAAAATCACAATAAAATATTATATTTTTACAGTCTCAGTATAAAATGGTTAGTAGTTGACACCTATGTCAACTACTAGTATTTTTGTGTTAGTAATTGACACCAATCCTAAATTTTGTTTTACTAATAAAACAAACTTAAAACATTAGCAAGGCGTTACCTTAATATTCATATAATATAGTGATATATCTAAAACTATATTCATTCACAATTTAATCAATAAATAGAATTTTTTTAAACTTACCTTCTTAATACTTTTGTTTAGAAAATTTGTTGCCACTTGAAGTTCACATAACACTTTGACAAAAATTTGGTGAGAATTTTCTGTTTCAAGGTTTAATAATTCTATAGTTACAGAGGAGATGTATCAGTAACTCTAGTTAACTATGATGGTAATAATTACATTAAAAATAATTGGAAAAGCTTATTATTTATGCTTAAAATGGAAAATGTCAACTACTGGTACAGTGTCAAGTACTAGTGCATTTATCTTAGAATTTTTTTAGATCATAACCAATTTTGCTATGTTGTCAAGACTTAATACATAATTTTTATGTGTTATTTTTTTGTACAAAATCTTGTTTTATTTATAGATTTTGCTGTTAACTCAGAATAATATAAATATATACAATAAACTCTGAATAAATAGTTTTAATCTTAACTTTTCACCATCAATAAATAATTAAAAACAACAAATTTGCCTGGTATGTTCCAAGTTCCGACATTTTCTTGGACTGATCAATTGAATAGCATACAGTGTAAAAAAGTATTAGTAACTCATTTCACCTGAAAATACAAAATTAGCCCTTCCAGTAGTACATTGACTAGAGAATTGAGCGTACTGATATAGTGAAGAAAATGTTGTATTTAAGATTGTTTTTACCTTAAATAGTCCAAATTCCTGATTTCTCTATGACTCTTTAGGCCATTGCACATAAGTTACATTACTGTAATCTTAATTAAGTGTTCTGGGTACACAGATTTCTGGTAATATTGCTGTGGCTAATATGGCATTCTGACAATCTAACTACCATCAACGAATATATGTACGCATATGTGTCTATATTCCTTGCTACCATGATTGCACACTGCAATAATTTCTATTCAGTGGTCAATTGATTAGAAGTTAATATATTTATTCTCTTTCAAAAATAAAAAATAATTTTAGGTAGTGATTATAATTTTTCTTTCTAATATCTTACTCATACTCATACTATATAATTGTTATTCAAGATAGCGTTTTCAAAGTCTACCCATTGTGTTTAAAAAATCTTGATCAAAGGAGAAACATTATTATCATCAATTTAAAGAGTCTCACATTTCTTTCCTTTTTTATATTTCAAAGTACTAGGTACCATGTTACTCTGTCTATTTTTGGAATATAAAAATTATAATTTTTATAAAATATAGTTTTTATATCTTATTTATTTACGTTTTTACAATTAGGTACATCAACTTTTAAATGAAGTTATATTTTGAATTAAGTAGGAATACTTAATTTAAGAAAAATTAGTCCTTTTTTAAATAAATAATATGATCAAGCCGAATGCAACTTATTGTTATAACATCTACTACTCTATTTACCAATTTTGGTAAAGAATATTCCCAAGACTTGTTGATATTTATATTTCAAATTTCAAAGTGAAAAATAAAATCATTATTACTAAAAATGTAACATTTACTTACCTGCCATTTTTTGGCTTGTGTGAGCAACGGATCAGAGTGATTTGATAATTTTATTTGAATTATTCACTTTATAATAAAATATTTAAAATAAAAAATATATTCAAGTTAAGTTTAGCACATTATAAACCAATTATTATTCTTTTAACTGAAACTTTTAACCTGTTCTGCATCTAACCCAAGCTAAAAATTCTATTTCATTCGAACCGATAGTTCATAACAATATATAGAAACGATTTTACAAGATTGATATGCTTAAGTTACATGGTCTACTATAGTTATGTGCCATATTTAGGTCCTTACCATTTCTTCAAACTGTCAAATTACTAACCAAATCTTATAAAGATTACTAGAAAATTTTTGTGTTCACAAGAGATAGAGGTACCTAAAATTTATCGTAGATGGTGCGATTTTAGTTATATATAACATGAAACTCATGGAACTTTATGCATTATCAAAAATAATTCAAAATACATTTAAAATATAAATGTTAAAAAATGAAAAGAGATTATAATACATCCTAAGATACATCTTATATATAGCCTTATTTTAAATAATCGAAAATGTGCTTGAATACTTGAAGGTAATTTAATTCTATACATATTTGATTTTTCAGAGTGTATTTTATTTAATATTTAAGTTTATTATTAAAAAAATGAAGAAGTTGTTGTAAGTATACCATAAAAGACCGAATTAGGAATGACTACATAAAGGAAATAATTGAAGTAAATACAGCACTAACTGATAAATAGAGAAAAACAACTGCTGGGGTACGAGCACATGAGAAGAATGACAAAAGAAAGATAAATGATTTCAATTTTTTCCCTTTAAATTATGTTCAATTTGATTTAAATTTGACACGATATAATTTTAAGTATAAGTAAGTATACCTAATTATGGTGTAATGTTAGCGCTTCAGAATTAGACACTACCTACTTTTCTAAAAAACATAATTTGCAGAAACAATTTAGGTAGTACCTACACAACTCCTATAAGTAATATATATAGGATTTTTTGTTAGAAATTTATTCATGACCTAAAATGATAACTCTTTATTTAGATGTGAATAGATTTATTAATTTGAATTATTGTATGCCTACTGGCAACCATAATTAAGTATTTCTTGACAGATCCCATTCAAATTATTGATGAACATGGGAGGAATCTTTAAAAGTTTTTATATTTAGCCGACAGATGGTACGACACGAAATAATCGAAACTTATAGCGCATTCGCATTTCAGATTTCTCACTTGACGCTTAGTCCTAATTGGTAAGGGAAGCAGAAAGGTAGATAACGAGCAGTAAAGCGTTTGCTGTTTATATCGTCTGCAATTTTGAGATTTGATATCGGTATTCGGTGTTATTTGTTTAAAAATGGCATTTAACGGTGACGGTCCACATTCAAAGAGGCAGCGTACAGAAGCTGAACTCGCTAATAGCCGGGTAAGTAAAAATAGCATTTCTTCCGGTATAATTATGCTATAATCTTTTATGTTTACAAAATGTCCAAAGAATTCCGGGGCACTTGACTGTCAACAATTCTAATGAATCTGAAATTGTGCATTTTAACCTAAAAGAAATTGTGTTTCTTTTATAACAAGAACAATAATGAGGTTTTTCAGTAGTAATTTGACGTTTAATTCCGAGGGGGTGTAGACTCTTCCTATAACGCCTATTGACAGTCCTTGTCTTTGGATTATTTTAAATCTTAAGTAAGAAAAAAATATTTATAAACTAATTTACATAGGATATCATATGTATAATTTACTTTAAAAATACGTCACACCTACCAATACACAAACATTTCCACGATATTCATATAGAAAATTAATAAGAAACCGAAAATTAGAAGCAATAAAGGAACATTATTTTGTGTAAACATATAGTTAGTTTTGATAAACTTTTAAGTTGATACATCTCGAAGATGAGTGTTGTAGTAATAATGTGTCCATTTTAATAAGAATACTTTGTTATCTTCATTTGGTGAAGTGCGTTCAATTAATCTCAAATTGACATGCGAATTATTTGTAATTTTTATCTAATATGTAATATATGTAGGTTAGCTACATTTTTTCCTAAAATCAGTGCAGTAGTAGACTATTAAACGAATTATCAACAACAATTTTTCTCTGCCTAGTAAATTCCAATTTCTACCCCCAAAACACATGTCCACATTATTAACTACGTATTATACATTTAATTTTACTAAGTACTTTCGTACTTTACTGAATTGCATATTTATATAATATAGTATAACCAAATGAAAAGCAACAGGCCACCCGGCTGTTGTGCTGACTTACATCCACCAAATTACTAGTTTTATAAAAAATATTTTCAAAATGCTTACATGTACATTTACTACCTTATGATTATTGTTAATGTATATAATAATAGGTAAAATACATATCCTTGTTTACGCATTAACGCAGTTAATTATCTACTAAAAAATAAATGATTAAGTTATGCCTAGTATCTACATAATATTTTTATCTATCACTGCAAATATCAAATTTTCTGTCAGCAATCTTAGTATAAGCCATGTGTAACAAACACATACATGCGTGTAACGGTAATTAAAACGCACGTGTGCCACAGGTACAGTTTGATTCCCAATAGTATTATTTTTAAATCAACATTTGAATGTACATACTAATTTATTTATATGCGGCAATAGATAGGCGATTTTTATCAAGTAAATACAAGCTTGTAGCTTTGTATATTGTATACAAATTGTAGCTTTGTATATTTTTATATTAATCCTTGATTATTCGAGTTCATCGATATACCCTATATTTGGGACCGCCGCCGGTAAGGTTAGTACTTTAGGTTAGGTTAAAATTAGTTAAAAAAACTAGTTCTTTTTGGCCGATTTGATATTTGAAAACCACTGAATTAACCCATTAACGCCCAAATTAGTTTTTTTTTTGCATTTTTAACACGTCACATGCTTAAAGCCTAACGATATGCTATTGATAGGTGCTGAGAGTATTTTTATTTTGTAAATCGTTATAACTGCGATTTACTGGAAATTTTAATAGAAAACATATTACAACAATAATATTAATAATTACAAATTATTATCATTATGTAACTGTACAAAACAATTTCCAACACAAAGGCCAGGTTTTTCAGGACAGAAGCTGCACTCAAATATCGTCTTTTCTTAAATTATTCTTTGAACCTACCTGACATCTTTTTCTCTTTATCCGACCTTTACTATCAACATTAAAGTTTTTTTAAATGTTGTGCTTGTCTGTTGTTTGTTGTTGTTTGTATGCTGGAGTAACCAATACTATTTCAGAATTTTTTAAAATATGTCTGATAATTTCTAAACGATATTCATATAAATTCATTTTTCTACCAGTGTATGGAGCATAACTTTTGTACAAATATATGGTATTTTTTGTATACCATCTGAGCGTCTTTCGCTCACATGGATAGTAAGCGAGCATTTGATCTTTGCGATCAACACCACTCAAAATTTGGGTAACGGTAAGGTTTTTTAGTTTCAATTGGGATCTCTTTTGTCTTTCCACTTTTCTACTAAAATGCCATCTTTGTATTGCCCTACTGTCTGTCCTCCTTGTGCTAGTTTAGTTTCTTAAACTTTTTTAGGGTTACCTTTTCTCATGGAACTTAAAGTTCCTGTGCAGAAGGTACTTATTGTTTTGTAAAAGCTTTTTTGTTCTAAATCAACACTTCTATAAAAATTATCTATAAAAAGAGAATGCCCAACGTTAAGTTTGTCCTGAATTAGTTCTAAAACTACTTTTTCAGAGTGGACTTTTCCACCTGCAGAGTTATAACGTCCTGTATATAATTTCATACAAAGAGCTAAGCCGATGGGTTTTGCCAACACATACAATTTAAGTCCGTGTTTGTGACGTTTGATTTTCATTTATATTCGAAAAGATAATCTACCACGCCACAATACCATACTTTCATCAAGAGATAGATTTTTTCGAGGTTGATATATATCAGCCATTATATTATTGAAGTAATTTAAAAGTGGTTTAATTTTATGCAGTTTATCTTCTATTATGTCCTCTTCTGAATTTCTGGCAAAATGTAGACATCTCAAAATAAGCAAGTAACGATCTCGGCTCCTATTATTATGGAAACATTTCAATAGAAAAAGAGGATCGGTATTCCAGTAGTCCTGGATTCTATTGGTTTTCCATGTTCCCATATGCAATGTAAGTCCAAAAAATGTTTTAAGTTTGTTAACAGACACAGGCTTACATTGATTTATACGTGAATGTTCTGCAACACCGGATAAAGGTAACGATTCGGCATAAACATTTGTTGTCTGCACTATTATCTCAAAAAAATATCTTCTACAAGAAGGTAAAAAAAACATATGGAAGACCAGTCCCTGGAACATCTACTAATAACACAAAAGATTTGGTAAAATTAAAATTTAGCATTCCAATAGGATCGCCTGTCCACGAATCCTTACTTAAATTTGGCTCCTGCATATTTTTATTCCTAACTGCATTTCCATGTATCGCTTCAACCAATCCAGAATAATCATTTTCTTATTCAATATCTAAAAAAAAAAAAGCAATTCTACAAGAAAATCTAATGCTGCAAAATAATTCTGTTGATAATATTCTAAAAGGTTGATATTAGAAATAAACATTTCAAAACATGTATACAAATGAAGTTGATATAATTTTGAATTCGTTTCTCAAATCTAGTATTGGAATCATATCTGTACTTTATAATAAACATACCTATGTCTTCATCTGACAGAACTACACTATTATTGGATTCACTGAATTCATCTTCACTAGATGAATTATTATTTATTGTATTATTGATCAGTACTATATTTTGATCTTTTACAATTTGAATTATTTGCATTCAGTCGGTCAGATAGCTCAGCGGGCTGTGCAGCTGCCTCTCATTCGCTTCATTGTCGAATGGTTTAGTGGATGTGGGTCGAGCCCAAGCTCGGTGTACAGAAAACAAATAGTCTAACGCAGCAGTTTAAAATTCTAGATGAATCTGCGGCTTAGACTAGGATATGCTGGGTTCTGATCGGCCTATGGTGGAGCAGTACGGCAAGGGATAAGGGCTTGCGGCTCGGTGATACTCCTCCATAGATCCCTACCGGACGGGCGTAACGCCTAAAAAACCGGATATATATATATATATATATATATATATATATATATATATATATATATATATATATATATATATTATTTGCATTCATTTTACCACACAAAGTACTATATTTCGATATTTTACAATGTGAA